GATCTTTTCATGAAATTCAAGCCCAAAAGGATGACAATTGTGCAAAATTCAACTTGAGATGGAAACATGAGATATTCCTTTCCAAAAACATGGTGAATTCTTAGACTACAACTATAATATGAACATGCATGGGACAAATTCTTAGATAGCATGCTCTAAATGTAATGTAATGTACATGCATGCATGTATACTCCATTCTACTACTTCATTAAGCTTAATTCATGCCCCAACTTACTTAATTCTTTTGAATGCATGAGTTAAACTCCCTAATTACCCAATTAAAGGCTTGATTTCATACCTTAGGTTCTCAACTCTTTGAATCATAGTGAATTCTTGCTAAGTCTTCAAGTCTCCTTAATTCTCTAGTAATTTTGTTGTTTGAAGGCTCCTCTCTAGTCGCTCTCTCTCTCTACACGTTTGTACGTGTGTGTGAGCTCATCATGGGTTGAAAAATGAAAGAAAAAGAGAGAGAAAGAGATAGCACAAAAGAAGCTTTATATAAGTTTACCTAATGATAGTTAATTAAGGCTAATCAAGCGGGCATTAAGTTAATCTAATTTAATCGTTCCAAATCGATTTTCAATTGGACCTACCATAAAATTCTTAAAATTCTACTTAACTCAAAAATCAAGTCAATTTTTGAATCGAATGTCGATAAGGCCTTCAATTTGTAAATCGAAACAAAAACATGAACAAATCTTTCTACATTAAACAGATATAAACACAAATAATGCAATGCTCATGTAATTGACTCATGACTTCGTCTTAATTACTTGTTAAACATACTTAACCATGGATTAACGTTAATCATGGGTTCGGGTTGTTACATAAAGTCTGAAATATTTGTTGCTGTACATGGTGTGGTTGTCCACAATAAACCTGATTGCGCTATCATCGTCTGTTACGTGATGCGACAATATGTCCACCACACCGAGGTCAAAAAAATGATAGAAGGTACGAACTGTGTGAAAGCGAGGGCGACGATGGCGGAAGCTTTTGTAGATGACCCTACTAGAGGACTAAAAACGTGGTAAACGAAGAATGTGGCCGAACATGGCTCGTACTGTTTGGTTTTTGTTTTTGTTCTTAGTTTATTTTTTATTTTTATTTTTTTTCTTGTTGAGTAACTTAGCTTTTGCTTGGAATTGTTTGGAATGTCATTGACGTTGACTTTGATGGTACGATTTTTGTGGCATGTTATTATAGTTCAAGTCCTTTTTTTGGAGCCCGGCGCATTGCGTCCAACATTTTGGTTTGAATAATCCAAACTTGAATTGTGTTTTTTTAGGGCTAATGAATTATAAATATTGCATTATAATTAGGGTGCAAGTTTTTGTGTAGTGGAATCATATTGATATGGTGTCGTGTTTGACATGTGAAACATGCGTTCAAAGTGGCTAACATTGGAACATGAATGCTCACGTTCATTTTGTTTAATTGTACAGTATGGTTTGTTTAGATGTTGGTAGGTTGTGTTGACTATGTAATTTGAAGTGACTTAAAAGATACGTTGTGGTGTCCTCGTAATGTCGTGAGGGTATTTTTTTACATCTGGTCGCAAGGCTTCTAGGAATTATGTGCGACAATTCAAAAGAGGGAAACTATTTTAGGTGGGTTGATTTGCTGGAAAGTTTGTGTTACAATTGTAGGACGGGTTTTCCAATTGTACAATGTCCTTACTTTGTGTTGTTTTGGTGGAAATATGAAAGGCCAAGTTGTTTTGTTTTTGGTGTGAAAGTTCATTAGAAGTTGTGGGATGATGGTTGTGTGGTCTGATTACGTAATTTGGGGTTGTTACATTGTGAAGGGGAAACGGTGGCGTTGGACGGTCATGTGGTCGAGTCGATGAGTTGTATGTTAAATAAGTTCAATGAATTTTCCATTCAAGTCATGTAAAGAAATTTGAATGTAACACCCAATTAACAACACATTGTTTATTCTTTTAAAACATGTTAAAAATTCTTGAACATAACACAAATAACATGGCCTAAAATTTAAACATAACAACAAATGTAAAATGTGAAAAATTGTAAAACAAAACACAAAGAGCATGAAATGAATCTTGAAAACGTAACACCGAATGTTAAATGAACTGACCACTTTATTGTAGCTTGAAATTCAAATTGATATATGTTATTGCATATGACTAAACTAACATAAAACATTGGACCATGTAGAAATAGTTCAAAATTAAACGTGGCAACGCACAATGGTTGGGACTATATTGGTTCATTGCATGTCTTCCTGTTATGGTTCCCTAGACTGCCGCAACAGCCACATCGAATCTATTGCACTTCTTCACTTTTAGATGGTATTTGTTTTTTCTTTGGTCTGCCAGGTGGTCATTGCACTACTGGAGGAAGAATAACATAATTTTCTGGATTAGCATGTGGTTTCTCAACTGTTAGGATTGGATATAGCTCATGTAATTGACTCATGACTTCGTCTTAATTACTTGTTAAACATACTTAACCATGGATTAACGTTAATCATGGGTCCGGGATGTTACATAAAGTCTGAAATATTTGTTGCTGTACATGGTGTGGTTGTCTACAATAGACCTAATTGCGCTATCATCGTCTGTTACGTGATGCGACAATATGTCCACCACACCGAGGTCAAAAAAATGATGGAAGGTACGAACTGTGTGAAAGCGAGGGCGATGATGGTGGAAGCTTTTGTAGACGACCCTACTAGAGGACTGAAAACGTGGTAAACGAAGAATGTGGCTGAACATGGCTCGTACTGTTTGGTTTTTGTTTTTGTTCTTAGTTTATTTTTTATTTTATTTTATTTTTTCTTGTTGGGTAACTTAGCTTTTGCTTGGAATTGTTTGGAATGTCATTGACGTTGACTTTGATGGTACGATTTTTGTGGCATGGTATTGTAGTACAAGTCCTTTTTTTGGAGCCCGGCGCATTACATCCAACATTTTGGTTTGAATAATCCAAACTTGAATTGTGTTTTTTTAGGGCTAATGAATTATAAATATTGCATTATAATTAGGGTGCAAGTTTTTGTGTAATGGAATCATATTGATATGGTGTCGTGTTTGACATGTGAAACATGCGTTCAAGATGGCTAACATTGGAACATGAATGCTCACGTTCATTTTGTTTAATTGTACAGTATGGTTTGTTTAGATGTTGGTAGGTTTTGTTGATTATGTAATTTGAAGTGACTTAAAAGATACGTTGTGGTGTCCTCATAATGTCGTGAGGGTATTTTTTTACATCTGGTCGCAATGCTTCTGGGAATTATGTGCGACAATTCGAAAGAGGGAAACTGTTTTAGGTGGGTTGATTTGCTGGAAAGTTTGTGTTACAATTGTAGGATGGGTTTTCCAATTGTACAATGTCCTTACTTTGTGTTGTTTTGGTGGAAATATGAAAGGCCAAGTTGTTATGTTGTTTGTGGTGTGAAAGTTCATTAGAAGTTATGGGATGATGGTTGTGTGGTCTGATTACGTAATTTGGGGTTGTTACATTGTGAAAGGGAAACGGTGGCGTTGGACGGTCATGTGGTCGAGTCGATGAGTTGTATGTTAAATAAGTTCAATGAATTTGCCATTTAAGTCATGTAAAGAAATTTGAATGTAACACCCAATTAACGACACATTGTTTATTCTTTTAAAACATGTTAAAAATTCTTGAACATAACACAAATAACATGGCCTAAAATTTAAACATAACAACAAATGTAAAATGTGAAAAATTGTAAAACAAAACACAAAGAGCATGAAATGAATCTTGAAAACGTAACACCGAATGTTAAATGAACTGACCACTTTATTGTAGCTTGAAATTCAAATTGATATATGTTATTGCATATGACTAAACTAACATAAAACATTGGACCATGTAGAAATAGTTCAAAATTAAACGTGGCAACGCACAATGGTTGGGACTATATTGGTTCATTACATGTCTTCCTGTTATGGTTCCCTAGACGGCCGCAACAGCCACATCGAATCTATTGCACTTCTTCACCTTTAGATAGTATTTGTTTTTTCTTTGGTTTGCCAGGTGGTCATTGCACTACTGGAGGAAGAATAGCATAATTTTCTGGATTAGCATGTGGTTTCTCAACTGTTAGGATTGGATATATGGTGTGGAAGTATGAAAACTGATAGGTTGACACATGAAAATAAGGTTCAACCAATGCATTCAAGTCACTGGCACTATTACGGATGGCAACCATTGCATGTTCACAAGGAACCCCATTGATTTGCCATTGGAAGCATGAACATGTACGCTTGGCAATGTCCACCAACACTAATGGGTGTGAGTGGACCTCGTACACGTCATTATTCGACTGATTGACTATCCACGACCTTCCCTCCTTGTATGCCTTGTCCAGTTTGGACTCCATCGTCGGACATATAGCACAAGCTCACGTACTGGACACTCCCCTACGTTCAGACATCTAATTCATTATCTGGGTCCTGATTACATCAACCAATCGAGTGATTGGCAAACTGCGGGCTTCTTTTATCCACTTGTTAAATGATTCAGCGGCATTTGAACACATCTCGCCATAACGTTTGCCCCTGCAAAATGTGGGTGGCAAAATGGGTGTGTGACATACCAGCAAAAGCACAAAACATAGACGGTGTAAGGTTGTCTAAAAGAATGAACTTAAAATTGTTGTCCCTCACCTGAAATACGCGTTGGCCCATCGGTGCGGTTCTAAATCTTTTAAAAAAATTATAGCAATGCACTGACCGAACTATATGAATGCATCTATTTTTCACTGAAATCAGTGACGGTCAGTGCATATGCACATGCACGCAACTTACTTACCATTCCAATGTGGTATAATTTGTTGACATATTTCATCTTGTCTTTCAAATTCATCTGTAAATGTTGCATGCAAAAAGCATGGTGGACCGTTGGAAAGACAGTAGGCATGGATTCCATAATGCCGACGTGACGATTCGAAACAAACGTCAAAACCCGATTCCCATTAACAATATTAGCTAGGTTCTGTAAGAACTAAGCCTAATTCGCAGCGTTTTTCGAATCGACAATTGCAAAAGCAACTGGGAACAAACCTGTGTACGTAACATAAAAATAAATTACCCACGTTTGATATGTAATCCCAATCAGTGGGGAACAAAAATGACAAAATCTATGAACCAAGAAACACATAACGTGTACAATGAGTATATTACCTTGGTTTCCATCTTTTGCGGTCACCGCAAGTAGATTTCCCTTGAATCTCCCTTTCAAAAATGTACCATCCAAAAACAATAGTGGGCGATAGTGGTTAAACCCATCAATACATGCTTTGAATGATATGAAAAGCCTATTAAAACGACGGGTGTTGTGTTCATCAAAATCAAGATTAATATAACTCCCCGGATTATATTCCATAACAGCATTGCTATACCAACATAGTTGGTCGAACGATATCGAATTATCACCGTAACGTCCTCCTCTCGCTTTTTCAACCCCCAACCAAACTACACGGTAACTAATTTGCAAACCGTATTCTTTTTTGAAATCATATTTGACATCGGTTGGGCAAGTCAATGGTTTGTCGTGTACATGTTTTGTAATAACATCAGCAACTAGTCCAGACCCCATCCTCGGGTTTTGGTCAGTACACACAGCGATCCCACAAGTGTGCTCACGGTGCCATTTTTTGAGGTAAAAATATCCATTCGCATTCAAGACCCTCGCATGGATGGACCATAGACATCCCTTTGACTCCTTAAACATGCATTCCGCCGTAATTTGAACTAAGTCGTTCTTTGTGAACTTAAATTGAAACCCACATTTGATGGCGTACTTGCTGAGTACCTTGCGAAATTCCCCCGCCCCACCCTCAAAACATTGTCCGATATTAGTTATGCCACATACCCAATCCGCTAACAATGACACTTTGCCAGTGTATTGGCAAATAGGTAACAAATCAGCCTCCTCATCAATATATGCATCCATTTCCCCCTATCAATAACTATGTCATCGAGTACATCGTTCACCCCATTGCGACGTTTAATCCCCCGCAACTCACCACACTGTTCCACATGAAGATCGATATGATCCAATCGAAATGATCTAGCGAGGCATACCATGTTCTCGAAATCGGAATCATTTTCCATCTTGAAATTATTGTACCCAGGAATCTTGAATCACATTGACGCCGAATCAGTATGGAGGCCACCAAATCGTCTGCAAATATGATCAACCAACATACTAAACGTGTAATCTGTACAGGCCACAATGGCATCGTTTTCAATCCCATATGAACACAACAACATGATACTGTCCGCCATTCCTGCAACGAGACAGAACGAAAAATGAAGATTAAATATGAAAATCATGTTCTTCGCTTCTGCTTTGTAAAGACACTACATACATCACACTGAAAATCTATATAAAAAAATACAACCATTATGCTTTCCGCAAAACACGTATCGAACACATCAATTGTTTGTGGGGTGTAACCTTCGCAAAATGATACATGCAACATTGCGAACAACGTGTCGATGTTTACACCCCCAAAGTAAAACCATTAACATAACGAACAAATACCCCAACAACATTACTGTCACCGCAAATGAAGAATCCAACACCACGCCCTACAACGTTGAAGCAGACGACTGAGTACACCAGTACACAACTCGCACACCTTAACCCCTCCCCCCCCAACGCAAATTTCAAATACTCATGACCCTCGTTATCCCTAAAAATCTGGCCACATTTGATCTTCCCATATACTGCACACCGAAATCAATGTAATGAATATAATTCAAACATCCTTTCAAAAACCATTTCCAACCACATAAAAGAAGGGCACATTAGTCAGAAAACCCATCCCATAATTACATAATGGGATCCTTCGAATCACATTACCAAAAAACAGGACTGGGACGTCTAATAATTTTTAAAAAGGACCTACTAGACTACAATTCTTTGAAATAGGAGTTTCCAATAATTTCCCCTTAAAAAGAAGGTTGAACCAATTAAAAAATTACTTTACAAAATAACATAAATCAAATTATTAATTTACAAAGCAACATTTGAAAGGATGAAACACCAATAAATCTTAAATAGTGATCTTATAATCTATTTGATTCTTCTTTTTTTCTTATGGACCCAAAGATCTTATTCTAGTATAAATTACATAAAGGGCCAAGTATAAACGTGCCTGTATTATGTGTTCAGAAACAATTGTGGGTTTTCTCATTATGTGAAAATTATTAAACATAACACTTCAAAAAAAATCCTTAATATACCTTTTTCAAACGTAACACTTTAAAAATGTAATACTCCAATATAAGACACTAAAAAACTCCTTAATGTACTTTTCCAAACGTAATACTTCAATCAATGTAACACACAGAAACTCATTAATATACTTTTTAAAACGTCACACTCCAATACTAAAAAACTTCAATTAATGTAACACACTAAAAAACTTGTTACTATATTTTTTTTAAACGTAACATTCCAATGTAACATACTAGAAAACTCTTTAGTATATTTTTCTCAAACGTAACAAAGTAACATTCCAAAAAAAAACTCCTTGGTGTATTTTCTTTAAACATAACACTCCAATCAATGTGATACATAAAAACTCCTTAGTATACTTTTCCCCAACGTAACACTCTAATGTAACACACTAAAAAGCTCACTAGTATACTTTTCTCAAATGTAACAACGTAACATTAAAAAAAAAAAAAAAAAAAACTTCTTAGTGTATTTTTTTTTTAAACGTAACATTCCAATCAATGTAACACACAAAAACTCTTTAACATACTTTTTTCAAACGTATAACACTAGAAAATCACACTAATAGAAATGTAGAGAAATGTAAATTTTCACACTCGACAACTAACACTTCAGCCACTAATTCCTCCAAAAAAAATCTTTCACATCTTACATTTTCATTCTCATCCTAAAAACGAATCAAAAAAAAAAAATTATAAAATGGCATTTACTTAAACTTAAATGGTACCAAATCAAATAGATGTAACTTTTCAAAACAAAAAGGACTAATTGGTTCATAAGAAAACTCTATAGATCAATATTTTTCCATATAGAATTTATAGGTAAAGAAAACTCTTAATACTAAATAGATCAATATTCTCCCATACAGAATTTATAGGTAAATTTTCCTAATCGAAACTGTTGAGCAATAAAAAAAAAATTAAAAAAAAAAAGAACTTTAACTTTCAATGAAATGAACGACCTTGTAATGTGTCTAAACCTATTGGTTAATTTTAACCTCCTGCAATTAGTGGCGAAAATGGATAATACAAATAAAAAATATACTATATATCCTCGTCATCGAAATAGTTAATCAAAATTCTCCACCTCTTATGTGAAATTCACATGTGGCATGATAGGCATGTTTGATTAGGCGAATTATAGTATAATATTGAGGTTATTAATTAATTTATGAGATTCACATTCCATTATTTAGTTGCAATTGTTGATTAGTAAATATTTAATTCTACGACTAATAATACAAAACAAGCATATAATTGAGATTATATATTTTTATAACTATTGCAAAACAAACGTGGAGCCATAATTATTAATCTTACTAATCAAACAGAGTCATAATGTCTACCACATGCCATGTTTCAATATATTGAATTATATAATTCAAACTATTCATTTTATAGAACCCTTTGTATATATTATTCATAAAAAAATAAAATTGATATAATAATTATAACATTTTTATTTTTTAACATTTGTTTCTAAAAAATATATGATAAACAAAACCTAAAGATTGATGCAACATAAGAATCAAATACAAAATAATTCCAAAGTAGGAAAAAGTTACATGATTTTTCAGGAGTATATTATATACAGCTTTTTCTTCTTTTCTCTCAACTATTGTAACATGACACTACTAGAAAAAGAGTAAATGACATGAAACTTTTTGCAACGGTATACGTTGCCGTCACAAAAAGTTGCTTTTTGCAACGGTTAATATTCCGTCGCCAATAGTCACTTATTGCGATGGTAATTTCTGTCTCAAAAAGTGGGAAGCATATGTTCAACACTACTATACACGGCTTTGAGACTACATCATTAAATAACAACCAATTTGGTGACACAAGTAAGCTTGTCAGCCATATACACATGAGATTTTTCACCATAAACTCTGTTGGTAAATTCCAAAAGGATTTACAAGCTCATTGATCTTGTTCATAGTTCATAATCATATCAGACCTTCTGGCCATAAAACAAGAAATTCAGAAGCTCAAAACCTCATTCTACAAAGAGCACATATGAGCTTCTTCATTAAGCATATTTCAATCCTTGTGTTGTGTTGCTGTTGTCCCTCTCCGAAGCCTATCTCACCAAGACGAATGTACGGATCATAAACGATTTAGGGCAAGGCTTCAACCTTACAATACACTGCAAATCCAAAGACGACTATCTGGGGACTCACTTATTGCAATACAAAGAGTGAGAGATGAGAAGCTTTGTGGTAAAAGGTGTTACTGGTATATTAGACCTAATGCTGCGTGTTTACATAGTGACAAGACTCATTATGACTATTACTTTGATTGGCCAAAAGTATTTGAGAAAATTAAGGTCTAAGATTTTGTCTTATAATGTTCATGTGTCTTGTCATTTGTGCTCGTAATTATGTGATTTTATATTTAATTAACTTTTAAATTCAAGAAAATTATTTCATAAAACATCAGACAAGGAGATAGATGTTTTGGGATAGGGCCCAAGATGTTCCTTAACAAACTTTATAAGGCTAATTTGGTTCAAGAAATGAGGGGTAGAATTTTATTTCTTATATTAATTTAACATTGGAGAAAAATGTACATAATTTATTAGATTAGTCCAATCCGGTAAATGTGCAAACAAAGATCAATAATTTGGCAAATTTAGTCCGTTTAACGAGGGATCTCTTCTCAAATTGAAAACCTAGTTCACATAATATCATTAACCGTATCATATACCAACAATGCATCACCATAGACCAACACTCAGAAAGTTAAACTTAATCGACATGGTTTATTCATCAGAAATCCTAATTTTACTGTTGAAACACTAATTTAAGTTTTGATCCAATATGAAACAATAATCTTTACTCTTCTTGTTTTCTTCTCTTTCATCTTGTGAGAAAAATTTCAAAATATTTTAACCTTCAATCCTTATTTTTTCTTTTTTTCTTTTTTTAAATTCATCAAATTTGATATTAAAAAAAAAAAAAGGTGACAATTTTCTTAGTTTGATACAAGTTTAATGAAGTAATTAGAACTCAGTTTTACAGCTCTTTCTTCACTAAATTTCAAATTTAATTTTGATGAAAAAATTGATGAAATATTGAAGATGCTCAAAAAACATTAATTAACCACACATTAAACATTTTTTGTTGCGGAACCCAGAATCCACATATTGACATTTTAATATCAAGATCCTTAACTCGAAAATGGAGAATATACATACATATATATTGAAAAGTAGCACAAATCAACCTTCAAATGATGAAATCGTTATGCATAATGTGAACAAAATCACAAATTGAGATGGAGAAACTTGTGACTATGACGATAAGCCCGAAATAAGAAGAAAGTATGGGTTTATTACACCTTCTATCCCTAATCTATTGTCAAATTATCTCTTTAGGCATTATTTGACCTCCCTTACAAAAGTGTACTTTTTTTAATTTTTTTTAGGCTACATCACCTCTCTATTTTTTTGAACATATTTTCGTAAAAAGGTAAAAAATTAAAAAGTATACTTATTTAGATCATCTCATACACCCTCGTAGTCACTAACTATCAATTGAATCTACTAATCCTTCGTTTGGCATGCCAAACTTTTTGACTTTTTGACTATTTTAGTCACAAAAGGACAAAATAGGCTTTCTAACCTAATAAGACAAAATATCACATAATTTTTTCTCTCACAAAAGTCGAAAAAGTCAAAAAATCTATCCCAAACGAGATCTTTTAGCC